AAATTTTGTATGTTCTCCCAACCGGTTAATAAAAAAAATAGAACATGTCGATAGCTTCATTGTCTCATAATAGGGGGTGGACGGCTGGCCCCTCCTTATTTTCCGAAGACAAGGTTATTGGTATTAATCTATGATGGAAGTTTTGACAAATGACGAATATGTATATCGCAAAAAAGTCATGTTAGAATGATCATAGGTTGTACTGTATCTATATCTATAGACCAATCATTAGCATATGAAAGGGGGTATTTGTTTCTATATTCGTACAATGTATTATGACATTTTAAACATAAGAAGGGGTGGGGTGGCGGTCATAATACAACGTTTGTGATGAATGTCTTTGACAGTCACATAACAACGGTCATGAAATGGGGGGGGGGGGGGGCGAGAAAAAATTTAACTTACCTGAGAAAACTAGACAATCAAAAAAGGGAAAGATTATTGTCCAAACTCGAAAATCCTATTTTGGAGAGAGAGAGAGAGAGAGAGGGCGGGGTCTAGGTTTCAACTTCTTTCATAGCCTTTTTTTCATTCCAACATTACCCTCATTTAAATAACCTTATTTGTCTTCAATTACTTTGTATTTGATACGCAATGAGCAGATCGACTGATAATAAAAGCCCCCCCCCCCCCCCCCCCCCCCAACTTCGTCGCCCGAGGAGCGTTGTATTATATTTCTCCAATCAATACCGAAAATATTCATTATAATAATATCGAAAATTTGTATTAGGTAATATCCGGAACAGCACATGCGAAATTTATAGCATATATGAAAAGAGGCCTATGGGTAACACTTCTTGTTTAATTATTTGTGTAAATCATCAGCTCATACACGGACTGCTGAGAAACAAGAAATTACCGCTGATACTTGCAATGTCCAAAATCAAAAGCATCAAAACAAACTTTAAGTTAGGATGATCTTAGGACAGGTATTATGCTGTCCTAAAGTTAGGAAAAACTTAGGAAAGTTCTTAAATTTAGGAAAGCTTCGAGAAACTGACTTAAGACTAGGACATTTAAATTTCCTAAGACGTTATTAGGACACACCTTAGTCCTAAGATAGCTTCATGAACATGCCTGCAGATGACATACAAGGGTTGTTCGAAAATTATTGAGACATTGTGTATATTTTACTTTCTAATGAACGTCTTTCAGTGAAAATTGGCATATACGTTTGACATACACTAAAAATTAATAAGAGCAAGAAATATTTTACAAATATTAAATATTTTCTCTACAATGGTATATAAATGTGTCAATAGTAGGGGTACCCGGACCAGTCGGGGAATCAGACATTGAAAATATTTAACCCCAAAATTCTAACTCTTCGTGGATCAATAATGAGAGCGAAAATAATTCAGTTTAAGTGTATAATTTTTCAGCTTTGGTTCAAATTCATGTTGTGCAACTTTGATAGAATTTTGATCAGAAATACGGAGATCATAAAAAAATTAAGCGCGGTAGAGAAATCTGCTTACACCGAAAAAATGGATTTTGACGTCAAGGGCGGATCAGCCAGCATACCTAAAATTTTGTGTAGCGCAATGCAGAACTCTTTTCAAGACTGAAAGACCTGCTAAAACAATAACAAAGAGAAAAAAATGATGTGTTAGGGTTTGTTATTTCCTTGGTATACATTTTTTAGCAATTAATTTAACAAGACTAAAATTAAAAGATCTGGACGACCATGAGTTATTACATACAGTATTGATATCGTTACGGTATTTAAATTGGCACTGCATGATTCTAAGTCGTCCTTTCCCATAAATGAAAATTTTTGACTGGGGTAGCAACAGCATACATTTTTAAAGAATAGTTTAAGAAAAGAGACTGTTTGATTTTTGTAATGTTATATATGTAATAACAAAGAAGGAAGAGTATTAAACATTTCCCGATCGTTTCACATGCGAAACAATCTACGGCTAACGTAACGTTAAATGACGTAGCGAGGCTGCTCCGGGTCGATAGACATATGCATATTTATTACCTCACAGAAACTTATATAATTGTCGTAGGAATTATAAAATTTGCTTAAGTGTTTTAGACGTTCTTTATAAGATGTTGATGAATCTTCATGAAATTATCTCCGTCCTTTATGGAGTAAATGTCTCAATAATTTCCGAACAACCCTCGTATCTTTATGTGCTGGAAATTCTAGGAGGGACGTAAAACAACAATCAATCAATCAAACGCATTGCAGAAATTCAGTAATATAAGAAATATATAATTATGTGTCATTCACTTTAAGAAAAAAACTGTTTAACTCACCTGAACCAAAGGCTTATATGAATCATTCTGATTGAGGAGCGTCCGCCTGTAATTTTTCCCACTTTCCAAATCTTCTCCATAACATTATGCTGTACTCGGGTATAGACGAAACGTCCTTTGGAAATTCCAGAATCACAGAGTTGTAATTATTTAATCATGTAATTAATGTAATATTATTTCTATATGTTTCAGGTATCAGTAATCCTTAATTAATTAAAGATTTACTCAGTGGATGATGGTTATCATTTATGACTGATACCAAGTCATTGTCCAGACGATACACAACACTATCGACGCAAAATTCAGACGATACGCAACAGACGATGGATAATTCTCAACATGCCGACGTTAGAGTGCCCTGTGGAAGGATGTGATTGGCAGTCCCAGGACCTGGATGCAGCCTTTGCCGCAGCGATTACGGCAGCCCTCCAGATCCATGATAGAACTGTTCACCAGCCAAAACGCCCAACCAGCAGCTGCCGCAGCTCCCAAATTGAAGTTGGACCCACCCACCATAGCTGCTGGATGTGACCCAGACCAGTGGTCAGCGTTCACTCGACAATGGGAGATGTACAAGGTGGGTATGGCCATAGCACAAAACGTCATACCCACTGCTCTGTTCTACTGCTGCGACTCAGACCTTCGGACCGACGTCATGCGTGACTGACGAGGTAACATCACAGACATGCCAGAGGCAGACCTGATGAATGTCATTAAACGGTTTGCTGTGAAGGATGAGAGCACACTGGTACAACGCATCAAGCTCAGTAAGATGACACAAGCACCTGGTACCAGCATCAGAACGATTTTAGCCAGTCTCCGAGGTCAAGCGTCACTCTGTCAGTACAAGGCCACATGCAAGGAGGAAGGATGTAACCATGTTTACGACTACAGTGATGAGATCATAAAGGGCAATCTGGTTAGAGGAATTGCAGACCCTGAAATTTTGTCTGACCTGCTTGGTGATCCTAAGACAGACAGCTTGGAAGAGACTGTTTCCTTCATAGCACAGAAGGAACAGGGCAAAGTTACACGGAGTGCAGTTGGAGACTCAGCCGGTGCGATGTCGACTACGACCCAAAGCCAAAAATCAGTACAAGGACCTGGAGGCAAGTGCTGGGCATGTGGTGGCCCTGCTCACGGACAAAGAAACGATCGTAGAGCCAGGCAAAGAAGTTACGAGGCCTACATGTGCCAAGTGTAAAGTTAAGGGTCATTATACCAAGTCATGCAGCAAGTGTTCAACGTGTGGTGCCTGGGGACATAGTGATTCATCGTCAAGGGCTTGTACACAGGGACGAGGTCAGAAACTCCGCAATCAGGGACCATCATAGGAACCGATGAAAGATGCTGACGACAAGGTTGGTTATGTCTACGACCAGCTATGTACCACATCATGACCTTTTAACTGATTAATAAGCAAGTACTAATTTATCATTTTGAAAAGTTTAAAAATCTTGTGACAAAAACTTTTCCGACATTCTATTGAAGGAGTTCACATTTGTCATTTGAATATATAGGAAACTAGCGATGAACATGTAAAACAAAATTTTAGAAAAATCCTTTTTCCTTTTCAAATAAGTCATACAGGACCTTATTGTGTGAAAAGAAAGTCTAAATAATTCTAGTACAGATTCAATTTTGTTCAAAATAGGCTCCCTGGAGATTGGGGGAGGGTCAAAATTTGGTATCAAATTTTAGCATCTGATTGCATTTGAAATTAAAGAATAACCTTTTTCAGGAGTAACAGGTCCATATTGCATTATATTGTAAATACTTTAGGGTTAAGACAGAGCTAAACTCAGCTATCAGAAATTATATAGTACATATGTACATGTAAACAAGAAGAAGATACTTAAAGGTTTCTCTTCTTTGGAAATCAAGTGCTAGTTAGACTGCTTTTAAAGTACCCTGATACAGTGCATTCGGTTAAAAGCTTAATCCTTTGGTATTTTGTGCGGCTACAATTTTGTGTCCACATTTTTTATTTGTTCATAGAGATAAAAAAGATAATATAAAAGTCGTTCGCCGTTCAGGTGATTAACTAGGCGTTATGGTTAGCACTTCTTACTAATCTTGTGCTTGGATAAAGTGGCATTGAATTGAGGAATGCAAGGCAATACAAGCGTCATTTTATTCATAGAATTGAAAGAGTTACAAATACAGCTTTTAAAATAATATTTGTAATATTTTAAGCACCACGTGCAATCATTACACATTATACGTGCAATGGACTTTTTTTTAAATTGTTGTTTCTGAATATGTTTCATATTTTTGATAGATATGGTTGTGGAATTATAACTAACACGGTCTTACTGATCTTGCTTTCGTGTTTGGTATGCAACAGGTTTTATTGATGATTAATTATATGATTTATATAAATTAAAGAGCAAGTGGCTCTGGAAAGCAAACAGGACATCAGGAGACAGGGGTTTGTAAAACATTGAAAATATTATTCGAAATTAAGTTAAAGCTGACAAGGTGATCAAAAAAATACCAACATATCTAAATCTACCTAAAATTCTTTTATTTTGCCTTAAAATAGTATAATGCAGAGAAAAGTGTTCTAGTAGAAATTTTAATTTATTTTCATTTAATTCTATACATATGTAGAGCTCTTTTTTTTCTAGGATATTTGAATAATCTTGAATATCACAACCAATAATCTGCTTAAGTGTAAAATGTAGATGTAATTAAAACTAATTTTTAAGCATCATACATGTATGTCAATTATAACCTCGAACTTTTACAGTTTGAAGTTTGAAAAGTATGAAGGTGCCATTGATGTTTCTTCTAATGCCACTATGTTTGGCTTTGGTCATTACTTCTTGTTTGGGCCATGTGGTGGAGGACAGTACGTTTTCGATTTATTTCTATTTATTTGTAGCACATCCGGTATATAAATGTAATACCATATAAAGGACCAAAGAGACAGGGGAAATCATTCTCTCTGAAAACTTAAAACTTGAATTTACATTACATTTTGTTGAAATAAAAATTCTGAAATGCAAACTTATTCGTATTAGATATCTTTTACGTGTCCTACTAAAATATATTTGTTCTGATTTGAAATGTATCCTTTATACTTGTTCACAATTTGTACTTAAAACTGGCCGAAAATATATAGTGAAAAATAGTTTATTAGTTCAGCTAGTCATTATGCACAATATTAAACCAAGGCTCACTTTGTTTTAGATTGGGAGCTAGTTTTTCACGCAGTAAAAGGTAATAGACAGAATGTACTTGCAGCTTGGACCAACGGAACAGCATCACCATGTACACTAGATAACGGGTGTATTAATAGGGGATTTACGTTAGACAATTGGAGTAACACCACGCAGCATCTCCGAAGCCCATTAATTAATTTATGGCACTTACTCAACATTATTAAGGTTTTTTTTTAATAATTCCGTTCATTTGTATGAACAAACCCACAAGCCTAATTTTTATTACTTAGCTTATTGAAAATAATATAATTCTTTTTATTAAAATAAGTCACGAACAAATGAATCATTCTGAAATAAGAATATTATGAACTTCTTAATTACACAAAGTGCTCTTTACATCATTTATGTTTAAGCAGCTTAATTTTTGACATTTTTAATGTCTTTTTGTTTAAGTTAATTTCCCTTGCTCTGATATTTTCAAATACCATTTCTTCCACTTGAAATTTAATCTCAAATTTTTGACCTTTTTGTTTAAGTTAATTTCCCTTGCTCTGATATTTTCAAATACCATTTCTTCCACTTGAGCCCCCTCTTAATAAAAGATTTATTTATAAGTAAACACAATTTATAATACGATACTATTAATTAATCAAAAATTTTATTTTGTTTGTAACGCCTCATTTGATTCTTAAAAGAAAAAAATTATACCGTATAAACCGTATTGCCTTCATCATATTGACTTACTTCAAAAGCAAATTAATCTGCTTGTCGTTATATTTGAAATATGCACAATTTGAAGACATTTTTGATGAAGAAATTGTCTTAATTTTTACTTTAATGATGGACATTAATTAAATAATAAGGAATGAATTTAATACTTACTCAAGTTATACAAGTATAACCGGGGTTGGAACAGTTTACGCTTTTTATAAACCGATTTTCACGTTTATAAAACGTGAACTGATCCACCTCAGATTGTACAGTTTAACTTGGGTAGCTATTAAATTCATTGCTTAAATGTAATCATGTATGAAATGCACGTAAACCAGACAGACAACAGTACCGAAGATTATATTCATTCATGAGTAAACGGTTGGGTAACCTTTTTCTATACTATTGTTTTCCTCAGCTGAAATATACATATAATTTCATGATATTGATTTTTGAACTCGGTCTACTAAGGACTAAATGGATGTGCCCAAGTCCATATAGTACGAGTAAACCTCATTAAATTTCAATATTTGTATGATATGGTACTTGTTAAAGTTTAATGACTATAAAATATAAAAATAAATTCATTCTTTGATAAAACATTATATGATAATGTTTTTAAATTCAAGTATCTTTTAAAATTAAAGTATAGAGCCAAGGTTTATTAGATAAATTACCCAATCAATTACATAATTATTATATGTACGTTGAATGTGAATGTATTTAAGGTTCGCGTAGTGTTTGGGGCTCAAGGAAATACAGTGGCATTCTTGGAATTTGACGGAAGTGGAAGTAACAAAGAGAACTGGTTCAGCAAAGAGAGATTGTTACGCAGCAGTTGGTCCGATCTAAATAGCAATTCTGTGACTAATTATTTCTCCATGAACGGGTATCCACATTTCTAGTTGTTGCTTTTATTACAATCGTTTAAAACAATAACGAAATGTTTATTCATTCTCGTGATCAAAAAATATAATTATTTATTTATTTCTTGATTATCCTTTGTAGTAATGATTCTGGAAGACATTTTTTTATCAACAAATCATATGGCTCATGTCCAAACGATATTGGATGGTTAGTTGTAATAGATAGAATCCCTGTGTGTACCTGGGAGAAGAAGGGAGATCACCCACCACTCTTTTTGTACAGCAAAAGTTCGAAAGCTATGAACTGGAACACTAGTATGTTTACTAAATTCATTCGCACTAATTATATCGAGCTAATGTGCAAAATGTATTATTTATTTAACTGTTTTTTTTCCTTTTACATACCGACTGTTTACATAAAATATCAGACAAAACATTTTAATGTTTTAAAATATTTTTCGAAATGCATATACATGTATATTATTAAATTAAATATGAACATGTGCTGCCGCAGTATTTAATGGCAATCATGAAAAAATTAAAATATGTTAATAGGGACTGTAACTAGTCAGTCTGCTTAAATTTGAAAAAAGAAAATTAATTTTCAGTCTTATGATATTCAATCCGTGGGATATCCAAAATATTTAAATAAATATTTAGTGTTGTAAAATATATCTAAAAGTGTCGAAGGTATCGATTTTCCTTGCAAAATTGACATTTAGTTATATCTTTTATTACTTAGTATTTTTTTCTTAATGTACTTCATATCATCTCACCAATCAAAGGTTGCAATAAAAAGCATGTCTTTCATTCCAGATATTGGATCTGCTGATGTAATGAACGTCTACATTCTCACTCTCTAAGCCTAACGGTTGAGGGAAAAGAGAAGTTTATTTCCAACAACTTTGGAAAATGCACACATGAATTCAATTCATTTAAACTTAATAAAGGTTGTAACATGTAACACATGATTTTTCATTTTTTTTTAGTTTTCCATTTTCTTGAATTCAAGGAGAATTTTAATGACTAGAGTAAAGTAAAAACTCTGGAAATCTACCTTAAACAAGATTATAATGCTTTTATTGAAAAAATAGCAGTATAATTTTTTTTAAAAAAGGAACCTGAAAAAGAACTACATTTTTTTTCTATTGCAAGGAAAAAAGGCGGAGCAGTGGAACGAACAGTGTTTGCTTTTTATGAAACGATCACTAATGTTTTTTAATTAAAAATCGAGAATTAAAGTGAAGACTATGGAGAGAACGAACAGTATTCAATATCAAAGTCCATAAGACAATACAAAATAGGAGCAGAGCAAATACGGACCTCCAAAACATCAGAGGTGGGATCAGGTGCCATGGGGGAGTGACTTGCCGACCGGTCACACCCGCCGTGTGCTCCTTGTGTAGGTATTAGGTGTTATCAACTGGTAATCACACAAAAAATAAAAACAAAAAGGAACCGAGATTGTAGATTTAAAGGGTCTTGGTGGTAGTGGCCATTTTCAGAGTATTTTGATCTCCTTTAGAAGAAGAGCTCCATATGAAGATATACAAAAATGAACAAATTTTAGAACTAAATATGAATTTTTTTTCCTAAATGATAGTTTACAGCTTCAGATATCATTTCTAAAAAAAAATTAAGTTATATCTGGTGGCTAATTTGTTGACCCTCAGCCTCCTGAAATATCGAAAGTTAAAAAAATTGGATAATTAATTGTATGCATAAATGAAAGGTTAATCACGTGGAAGCAATCTTATGAATACAATGAACACCATATCTTCAAATGAGTATTGTATTATACATGTACATTAAAAAATGTTAAGTTTTTTAAAAACCTTAAGTGATTTTATTTTTCCATCTTTAAGAGGCGTATGTGTAGTTTTAGAAATAAGTTATTTTAAGCAACCTTCGCTAGAAAGAGGGATAAATGAATAAGCGTTGTAGGCATTATTATGCACAAAAGTATGCTTCTAAACCATTAAATATATCACTTTTAAAGCAGTTAACTTGTAATGATAGAAGCTGAGTTTTCCTTTCTGAGTAAAAGCTAGTTTGCCAAACATATATCTTCTTTAACATGCGTTTCTAAGGGCAAGAAAATACAAAACTGGCACAGTATGTTTACCCAGAAAACCCTAAAGTTATTTGAGCTTACGCTCTGCAACATAAAGACTTTTATATTTCGTTGATTGCAGAAATATCTTGCCGAGTTGACTAAGCTTGTTTTTTGACCAGACAGGCAGAACCAGTAACACAGTGTTGAATTGAAAAAAATGTCATTTATTCATAAAATGACGAATATGAAACTAGTACAAATATTTGGGGTCAGAAAGGACTAGAAAAATTGACAAGCAAAGTGTTATCTTCAATAAGTATTATATGTAATCTGACCTCTAACAAACATAACCTAAAATTACATGAAAATCAACTTCTCAAATCCCTACAAAACACAACCTGCCTGTCCACAAAAAATGTGGGAAATCTAAAAAGTACAGGCCAGGCAGGAGAAAACAATCAAAAACTGAGGAGGGTAGTTCTGGGGTTTGATGGAGGATAATTTTCGTTAAAATTTTTATGTGGTTTCTCCTTTCAGTAAAATAATACAAAATGATACACGAGGTGAGGAGCCAAGCTGATTGGCTAAAAATTCCGAACTGTGGTTTGGGTAAAGTTAGGTACACTGTACATAGTGAAATTAGGGGCATAATAAAATCAATAAAATGACAAAAAATGGATATGAATGATACAAGTCACATAAAGGTTATTATTTTGTCTTTTATATAAATAATAATTTATTAATGCAATGGAAACAAAATGGGGAAAAGCGACATATTTTTGTATATTTTATTTCAAAAAATATATTATTGCCAGTTGCATTATTATTTGTAATGAATGGACTTTTATTTTACAGTGATACATTGGTAAATTGTCTTCCCTTATATTGCCAACCTCGTTTTTTTTTTTTTTTTGCCAGGAATTCTTCCAGAACAAAGTAGTTTTTCTTCTGCATTTATACAGGTACACCAGTAAAATTGGTAATTAATTTTTTGCCATCTGCGATTCTACCTTTTATGTTTGACTGCAGATTTACTCACTGTATCTTAATGTATGATAAAACTCGTTACATGCATAATATGTTATAATAAGTGATATAACTTAAATGTGTCCATGTGCTGTGAAAACTAACATTGTTCGAATCATTCCTCATGGGATATGGGTGAAACATAAGTGACTCAAAGTTGAGCAAACTTTCGTGATTCAGTTAAATACATGTTCAGTTAGGGTCCCAGAGAATAAGCGTTGGGTACAAAAAGAATTCAATATAAATTGGCATATTATACATACATTATAAAAATATGTTTAAAAATCTTCTTAACAGGCCTACTCTTGGTTAATTTATTTGAGGTCGCATTTACAATTTCAATTTTTAGACATCTTTGAATATATTAGAAAAACTTGAAATCGTCATTTAAAGGATATTATTACGTGATTAGAATATTCAAATAAATCAAGTGCAAAATCAATTTTGTTAAAAAAGCTCCAAGGAGATCGGGGTGGGGGAGGCTTGGTATCAACACTTGAATGTCTGATTGCATTTGAAATCAAAGAATGACATTTTGGGAGAAGAAGCAGGTACAGATTTCATCATATTGATAAGTATAATTGTGTGGATGCTTTTTATTTCGTACTCTAGTTTAAGACAGAGCTAAAACCACATAACAATTTTGACAGAGTACATGTACAATGTACCAGAAACAGAATACTTGATTTTTTTCTTTTCTTTGGCATGCAAAAGCTTTTTTCATTTTTCTAGTCCTAATGTTAATAAATTATCCAACTATATTGGATTTCATGTAACCGTCTCCTCTAGGGGTAATGTAGGGCTAAGATTTGGGGTTTACATATTTTATTGGTTTATAGAAATTTAAAAAAAATTCTTTCAAACAGCAGGTGACTCAATTGAGTATTATGGTCAACAGATCTAGACTTCTTAAAACGTGTTTTGGTACAATGACATAGAAATGAAATGCAAGGCGAAATATGAGACATTTAACAATATCTTTTTATACATTTTTATACATTTAACAATGACACGTTTCTTTAAAAGGCTGTATTTTTTCAAGCACCACATATAATCGTTATGATCGAAAGTGTATTTGGCATTTTATAAATGATAGATGTATCATTTATCGTGATTGTAATAAAATCTAATTTTAAAAATAACACACAATACTGATAGATATGTTTGTGGAATTTTATAGCTAAAACAGATTTACTGATATCGCTATCGTTTTGTTACACAATAGGTGTTAATTTGATTACTAGATATATGGTTTACATAAATGAAACAAACAAGTGGCTTCTGAACAATGAGCAAGAGAAGGAGGTAAGTAAAACATTAAATATGACATTCAAAATAAATAAGACAGCTAATGTTTTCACAAAATTACCAACATATCTACTTGAAATTTTAATTTACCTGCCTTAGACTATAATAAAAAGTATTTTAGCAATTCAATTCCATCGATATCTTTTTCTATTCACATACATGTAACACGGAGCTATTTTAGGAGTCTTATTAAACATGACCAACAAGCCCGCAAAAGAGTAAAATGTTCAATTTCGTATGAAAATTCCGTTGTCAAGCATGATACGAGGGCTGTTCGGAAATTATTGAGACAATGTGTATATTTTTCTTTCTAATGAACTTCTTTTTGGAGAAAATTTGCAAGTACGTTTGACAAACACTAAGAATTTACAAAAACAAGATATAATTTACAAGTATTAAATTTCTTCTCCTCAGTAGTATATAAATGTTCCAATGATAGGGGTGCACGACGCAACCAGATATTGAAAATATGTAACACCAAAGTTCAACCCCCCGCTGGACTATAAAAAAGGACGAAAATAATAATTCAACTTATGTATATATTTTTTCAATTTTGTTTTACATCATGTTGTACAAGTTTTTTTTAGAATTTTGTTCAGGAGTATGAAGACCATTAAAAAAATTAAGCACGGTAATGAAATCTGATTACGATGACTAAATGGATTTTAACGTCAGGACGGAGCAGCGAGATACCTAAAATTTTGTGTAGCGCTATGTAGAACTCTTTTCCAGACTGACCAACCTGTTAAAACAATAACTACGGGAAACATATGTCGAAGTGTTTATTTCATATGTGCATGCGTTTTTTAACCTATAATTTAACCAAATTAAAATCAAACGTCCGGACGATCATCAATTTTTACCACTACGGAATTAAGGACGTTGGCCAGCGTTGCATAAGAGGCATTACACTGCATTACAAATAACGGAGATTAAATGCTTCCCCATCGTTTCAAAACATCTCCGGCTGACGTGACATTAAAACGAGGTAGCGATGCTGCTCCAGGTCGATAGACATATGTATGTTAATTTTTTTTACCGGAACTTATCTAATTATCCTATAAATTAGAAGAAATTTTATATAATTATTATATTCGTTCTTTATAACTTGTTGAAGAATTTTCCTGAATTTATCTCTGGCCTTTTTGGAGTAAAAGTAAATATCTCAATAATTTCCGAACATCCCTCGTACGTAAATAAGATATCGATATTGTACATGTGTTTGTGATACAACAGCTAGTGTTAAGGTAGGATTCTTCTCATATTTCTAATATTTAAAAATTAATGAAATTTTCACAAAATCAAGAGGACAATATCAGTAAGTGATAGTATCAGTGAGATTAAATTTGACCGTTTTATATTAGAGGCAAGGTCAGGTCAAGGTCATTATCTTTTCCCTTGTCATTAAGAATAAAAAAAAATACTGTTGCTAATCATGTGATACCTACTTCTATTTCAAAAGTTTAAAGATTGTTCTTTTTGCATAAAAACATATTACTATATAGGGTCTATGGCATGATATTACCAAATTTACATAAATAATTTAACTAAACT